TAGGCATAGGCAGACAAGGATTGAAGTTACATAGTTTAAGCTATATACATGTGATTGAAGCTGGAAGAGCTCCAGGCTTCACATTCCTCGACTACTTCAGTGTGTCGAGGGCCAATAGCTACCTTGTTTTGATCCTACACACACTACTTGAAGGTTGCATATATTGAAAGATATGACAAACTTCAATCAGTGCAGCTAAGGTTGCACTACTACATGTATGCATGTCTTTGGCGATGATAATTTTGGAGGTTCTAGAGCTAAGCTCACTTCTGAATCCACCCTTCCTTTGAGCCACTACCACTACATCTGTGTGTGCTGTGTGCCTACATCTGTTACCATCTGAGGGTGGATGACATGACATGTCGTTTATGTTCTTATTAACTTGCTTAAGAATTCAACATGTCCAGTCAACATGTCCAGTGAAATTGTCGCCTCGTCTACATATGGTGATGTGTTGATGGATGCTGCAAGACTTGACTTCATTATAGTATGACTCTCTAGGAACAGCTGTACATTCAGATATGGAGTGTTGGTCTTGAATGGAAGAGTCAATTCTATATGAGTTTCACTATACAACCGTGGATAATATAATAAAAAATATCTGCTTTATTATATTGACTTGTTCTTTGTAGCTTGGAGTGACCATGATTTATTCTATTTTCAGGGTCTATCATGAGGCACTTCTATTTCCGTCCTTCAACGATTTTGAAATGGCACTTCTATTTCCGGTCCGGAGGTAGTATCTTGTTTCGTAACCGTTTACTACCTTCACTCCCACAACACAACAGCAGCCCAAGAAAAAACAAAATCATGAGTTAATTGTTATGGAGATGCAACTGGAGACAAAGAGGGTTGAGCACAATGGAGTCGACTGCGACTCAATGCAAGGCGTTGAGTACGACGAAGTCGTGAGTTGCGCTGGCTCTCCGCACGTTTCGCTGCCATTGCACTCATCATAGACTTGTAGCGAGCTAGCACAAAGTGATACCAAAGCCAATCGGCTTCGCACAAAGACATTAACGAAATATGGTAGTTCGTCAAAGCAAACGTGAGTTGTTGAATGTTGTCATAGAACTTGGGGTTCCACGTGAACTTCGCATAGGACACCTTCCATAGCAGGCTACACACACAGCCGAAAAGGTTCTCAATGATCACTCGGTCCGATGATACCCGGCAGTTTCGTACAACGTCTTTAGCGTTGAGCATTCTACGAAGCGGGTTTTTCTTCGGGTGAATGGCCCGGATGTCAGCCATGACTCCGTACTACGGTGTCCGTAGTACCCCTTGTCGACAAGGTCAGCCCACATCAATGGATGCGAATCTACTTGCTCGTCATGGTCAAGGTATGTTGAGCTCTTGGTCCGGCTTCTTTAGCGCTTGTTGGTGCTGCTCCATGTGGGATCGCATTATCGTCAATCAGCCACGGCTCCATGGTGCGTCTTGCTCATGTCCACCAGCAACCCTTGAGGACACAGATGCGTCGATCTCCAGACCATACATATTGTGCTTCGCGCTGAAGTATGGCTTCGCTTCGCCATGTCGGGCAGCCGGCGCTCGGAATGTTGAACACTGACATCAGTTGCGTAAAGAGCGTACGGGTAGTTGACAATGCAATCGTTGTTCGCCACTCGGACATACTGGGTAATTGTACAAAGACGGCCACGAACAGAGGGACCACACGTCAATCACACGCCGAACCAACTTTTGGTATATTGGTGCGCGGAACCCAAAGTCCATGGCGTGCTTCTCCCAGGATTTGTAGTGCATGAGCAAGGCCAACGTCATGAACAGCAGGTATCTCGGTGACGTCTTGCACTTGGAGCCACGTCCATTATGCCGCCGAGCTTTGAGAGGAAGCTTGACGATCTCCCATAGCACGACAAATTCACGGCGCGTGAAGTTCGTCAGGACACGTACACCATCTTCGCCAGGGTCCGGAAGGACTTTGTCGAATATCGGGAAAAGGGAGTCGATCACGTCATCGCAGTTGTCAACCACCTCAGAGTAGTCCTCGAGGCATTGACCCAGGAATACCTGGTCAGAGGTGGTTTGGTCTTGCAAGCGGGTGATGAGTGCGGAAACGTTTAGCATGAGGCTTCAAAATTGGAAGTGATGAATGATGCTGCATTTAATATTTGACTTTCCGCGCCTAAATTTACTTCGCGGCAGCAAATCAGAAGGATTTATGTTTTAGTGATGTCTTACATTTTAATGATTGACGTGGCATTCACGTCATCCACTCATTTCATTCACATGGCCCTGTCTGAATTATTTGAACAGTTTTTTGGAAGCATGGCTGTGTCTGACAAGTTATCCGGAAGTATAATTTCTGCTGACAGTGAGTATATGATGGCTTGATAAGTTCAATGGATATACTCTGTATCAATAATCAAATCATGCGAGTTTATAATTCTTTCATCGTTACTCCTATCTGATTTTGGGGCCAAGTGAAAACTAGTACTACGTAGTACTACCTCCAATGTCCGGTTTCAAATACCAATAATCCCAGTTCAAGTGTCGTGGTTTTATTCCATTGGCCAAAATTACGCTAGATCTATGTTAATTGGGCAAAATTGTTTTCCATTCCATGGCCTGCATTCCTCCATCGATACAGCATTTCAGTTGCAGACGTGCACGTCGGCTTGGCCATAACCGGGTCCGGACTACCTAGCACCGGGTTCGTTGAGTCTCGAGACGGGGCTCCTGGCTCCTCAGCGTCACTCGTCTCTTCCGGGAAGATTGGTCAATTGGCCCCGGACCCGAGGCAGGGTCCGGGACAGGACGGAGGCAGCACCCCGAGGTGTCTGAGAATCTCCGTCAGGCGACGCACTAGCGTCGCGGGTGTTCGGTTCAGTTTGTCGACACGAACTTTCTTCTTTTGAGGGTTTTGCATACATGCCCTTCTCTTCCTTGTCTTCACTCCCGCCCGTTTGTCGACGCGAGTCATCCCCGGTGCTGGGTCCTATGTATTCACCCGTGGTCCCGGAGGTCTCTCCAATTGTCTTGATGCTCTTCTCTTCATTGTAGGGTTCTGTGTATATCCCCTTCTCTTCCTTGTCTTCGCTCCCGTCCGTTTGTCGACGCGAGTCATCCCCAGCGCTGGGTCCTGTGTATACACCCATGGTTCCGGAAGTCTCTCCAATTGTCTTGTCAAGGTCGCTTTCGCTCCCGGAGCTCCAATCCTTCCGCCTTCTTTTGTGCTCACGGTGCTGTCTTCCGGGAGCGGTACGGGTCGCGGTTGCGCACCCGGCCCGTGCCTCTTGTCGGAGGGAGGTAGCATCCTGCAATCCTGGCTTCTGTCTGTAACCTGTATCCCGACCTCGTGTTGCATGTCCTTGTACGAAGAGCCCGGGACTCCCTTCGTTTGCGGGGATCAGCTCGCCATGCCATTCTTCGTATCGTTGTCCAGCCCCGGAGCAGTCCGGGGCTCGATTGTCGCCGAGTCCCGTACCACCCAGGAGGAGGTAGGTATCTTCCATCTTGTATGAGTCCTGGGATCCTTCCTCATCCTCCGGAGAGGGCGAGGATATCCCAGGGCTACGTGTACTTTGTTTGTTATCATCTTCGGAGGTCATTTGTAATCTCGCCGTCAGTGCCACGCCACATCTGGCGGCTTGGTTCCGACCGCCGAGTCCTCATTGTTTATCGGAGTCGGGGCTGCCTTCCGTGGATTGCTTGTTGTCCGACATATACCAGGACTACAGAGCAGCCACGACGTGGGCCGGCATAGAGCTCTGCTTGGACGCTTTTATCGGACAACCCCAGCTCAAATGGCTCATCTTCCCACAGGTGTAACAGGTTGTATTTCCTCCTCGTCCTCCGGGTCCCGTTCGGGTTTGTCCCGGACCCCGACCTCCGTTGTCCCGGGACAGGCTGCACTCCGATAGTCCGTGGCCTTTGGAGCGGCACCGAGTACAGAACCACGACAACCGAGGACACTGTTCACGAGAGTGGACCCGCATGGTTGTACACCTCCCGCAAATGACCCCACCCGACTTCGTTTCGTCGTCCGGATCCATGCAGATACGGGGCTGTACCGGGTTGTTTCCTGCCGGGTTATCCGTAGAGATCATGGCGACATCTTGGATGGAGGAAAACTGGTCGTTGTTAGAGGTAGTCAAGCTCGTCATGTCCCGTTGAAGTCGTGATATGGAGGCCTGGAGCTCCTGGAGATTTTTATTCGGCGTCGAAGAGGATTGGGTCCGGGACGTGCTCCGAGAGGACCTAGTCGGCGTCGACGGAGCCACCGGTGTCGTCCGGGGGGCGATCGGGAACCATCCGTTCGTCTGTCGGTGTCCACATCTAATCAGGTAGTCCAGGCTGATTTCGATAGTCTCGAGTCGCCAACTTCGATTTCGACCGAAGTCGAACTTCGAAGTTGGGTGAGTAACGAAGTGTTACTCACACCCTCATCCGGATGGATGGTTGGCCCTGACACATCTTCCGGTTGGAAGTTTGATTTTTCGACTCCGTGAGTGATGGTCTCACGGAGCAACTTGACAGATGGCATCTTGGACATCTTGAGCGCGGCGGCACTTGAAGGCTTTCTTGACTTGAGGGGTACGAGGCAAATTGGAAAGTTTTATAAAATTCGGTGTGGTTAATTGAGTTTGGATTATCATTTTTAAGACATTCCTCCGCGAGAGACGATACTTGAACCACATGTTGTGGAACTGCGTTGCCAATTGTAACGCGCCTGCTGGACCAGGGGCGGTGTGTATATTCTTCAGTTTTTACTTCGCTCAACGCTTCGGTCCTCGTCTTCGTACGCAGCCCTTGTTATCCGGATTCCCCAGTAGGGACGGATAAATCCTTGCGGAAATAATCCGGCGAAGCCGGGGATCGAACCCACGACCTTTGAGTTAAGAAACCGATGCTCTATGGTGCGCGTCATCTATAAACTACCAACTTTTCATAAAATTTTCTGACTTCTATTTCATATTCATTACTCAAAATTTTAGCAAATTGAGACGTATAATCAATAGATCTCAATGTGGTGAAGAAATTCTACGTCTCAGATTCAAATTTGGTGATGAATTGATCCTGAAATAGATAGCGGTATTTTACATGGGCGTTTGGATATTTGGCCATAGGGATGGCCGCTGAGATGTATCTTGATTTTTGTATGTGACTATTATCCGTATATAATATCCGGAGGCAGTTGGGACCTTAACCTCCCACTCCAGTGATAAAACGCATGAAATAGGTATTAAACGTATTTGGTTTTGGTTTAACTACATCAATTGTACGTTAAATAATAAAACCTCCACTCTTCGATTTGGCCAGTTGGAAGTTTTAGATGACGTGAACTATACCACTGAGGTATTTTCCCTCCCCTGTAACTTCGGTGTGGTTTAAATTCCGCCGTTCACTGTATGTACCTCTGTCCCACTTCGCATGTCGTGGTTTTTTACTTTTGGTCTTAAATTTGAAGCAAAAATCATACAGAGGTGTAATTGGTAGAAATGGAATGCTCTGAGCGTTATGATTCGACGATGACCAAGTACAGGACAATCCGCTCCGAAATACGCAAATTATCCGAGTTTTACGACCTCATGGTTTCTCATTTTGTTTCATTTGAATAAATTATGGTAGATACACAGTACAAGACATTGAAGTTCGACACCTACGGCATGGGGTAGTCGTGGACAACGACTTCCTCAAGATGAGGAACTTGTTCCAAGACACCCGTCGTGCCAACACTAGCTTGACACGACAAAACTTCTGTATATCCTGGCGAGAAAATCTGCGCACTCATATACGACGTCTGCCTACAGACTGTAGATGCCACAATAATGGACACCACCAACGACAATCATGCGGCTGCAAGGCAACCCCGTTGCGCTGGCGGTGGCAGCTGTGGAGAGTTGAGCAACTCAGCTGCGAGATGTTTCACACATGACCTTTGCTTGACACTCAGCTGTCGCGGGGAATATTCGGACGTTCCGCGACCAGCCGTAGTGTATTGTCTTCCTGCGCTCCGCGCTCCGGAAGGCTCGCTGAACTTGTTAGTCCCTGGGGCTGAACCCAGGACGACCATGGACAAGACTCTGAGCAATATTATAGGGCTCCCGGACCAGACTCCGGACGTCCTGGACCTGGATTATCCATTAGTCATACTCTTTTCTTTGAAGCTAAACCAACTAACTCGACTTTACATTTTCCCCTGAACTACGCGTTTGGTGTTTTACACGCTTGCCTACGCCGCACCTACTCATTCGATTTGTCGTGAAACCCCGCGTCATTCTGGTGGAGCAACAGGGTAGGTGTTTGCAAAGGAAGCGCGGAAGAAGAAAGGAAAGATGTCGACAGAAGAACCCACGACGACAGCGGTGTGCCAATCACACCGTCTGGCGGGAGATGCCCCGGAGTTTGGACTCCTGGACAGCGAACGCCTACTACGAAAGAAGCCTCTGGCCACGGATCTGGTCCCGTTGGAAGACGATGACGGCGCGCGAGTATCGACTCCAGGACGGAAGCGGGAAGCTGACGGGTCGCCGGACGTGTCGCCCCCGACCGACCGTCCAGAGACGCGGTCACCGTTGAAGAGACCGGGCTGGCATCGGCGGCAGACCTGGCCTTAGTGCCTACAACTCCCCTGGCCAGAACCGGTACCGATGGTCCGACCCTGACCCTGGCCAGAACTGGTACCGACGGTCATGAGTCCGACGCCGAAACCTTAGAGTGCTATTCGATACCTGTTCCCGCTCCCGGATACACATCTCTATCCAAGAGGTATGATATTAGGAACGCCTACCGGGACGCCTACCTGGAGCGGTCCCAGAGTACCAGGAAATACCATCGTAGCCACGATCACGGTGGCCACCGGAGGGATACGGGACATCCAGAAGGCCTATGAAGAATTCACTCGGGGCATTGAAGAGCAACAACGAACGGCGTCCCTACTGTTTTTCCATCAAGTCAACGAGGACCGGGCTCGTTTACTGGGTGTTCAGGAATCCCAGTTGGTAGATATGGCCGAAGGATTGCTACGGGCAGCGGAAACCCATGAAAGTCGCCGCCATGATGAGTTCCAGAAGGCCCTGACCTACCTCCGGGACTGCTATACTCGGGAACTGGACGTTGCCTAGGCTCAGGTAACCAACGAAGCGAACGAGGCTCTGCGCCGGGAAGCGGAAAAGAATGCTCTCTCCTGGGAGGACCGGACCCGGGAACTGGAACAACAACTGGCTCTGAAATGGGAACAACGTGAGCCTTCCTGGTACGGGACAAGGCCTCCGACCTCCTGGTGGCCCGCCGTCTGCATGAAGAAGTCCTGTCCCGGGTCCAGAAGGAGACGGAACGGGTTCTCGAAGTGCGCCGCCGGGAGGACCATCTGCGTCACGACGGCCTCATGTCCAGTCTCCGGGAAGAACTCCGGACCCTCATGCGGAACCATCAAGAGGAAATTTCTAGTACGGGAAGCTGCCCGTGACGACGACACATCGAAGGGGGTTGCCTATGACCTACATCAGTCCCAGTATGACTGGGACCTGGCTTCGGCCCGGGACGAGGTCCAGTCGAAGGCTTCGGAACTCGAGTCGGTACAGGAGGCCCTCCGGGAGTCTGCGAACGTCGCATGTGGAAATTGCCCGATCCTGGAAAGGGAAAAGCAGGACCTCCGCGAAGCCCTACGGGAACGGGAACGGAGTCTGGAAGAGGAAGTTCAGCGACGCCAAAGGATGGAACGAGTCTGGGAAGAAGAGCATCGGCGTCTCCGGGAGAGCGAAGAGACGGTCCGGGAACTCCAGGAGTCCATCATGACTGAGCAGAATCGGTACGAACAGACCCTGCTTTCGGAACAAGGACGCCGCCAGGATCTCGATCAGTTGGTCCAGGAGCAGTTCATGACACTTACCCAAGAACGCGCTCAGTCCGGAGAAGATCCCTCGCCCGGGACAAGGGATCAGCTGGAACGGGAGAGGCACGCCAACGAAGAGGTGTTGCGCCAAGTAGAGAAAACGCGCTCCTGTTTGGAAACGGAGAAATTGCAGTTGAGGGATCAAGAAGCTACCCTGTTCAGGGAACGGTCGGTCCAAGACCTCACCCTGAGCCAGACGTATGCGGAGTTGGAACGCCAGCGGACCCTGCTACAAGTGGAACAAAGAGCTCTGGAACTCCAACAAAGGACGCCTCGGAAGACGAACAATGCCCCGTACGCGACATATGGGATCCCGACTCTGTCCCGGATGGGGTCTCCGTCTAAAGGAAGCGGGATCACGCATACTACGTTTACTACGGCGCCCTTGCTCCCGACCACCCGCTCAAACACGTCTACGCCTCGCCGAGCCTTCGACCAAACCTGTTTTATGCAGCAGACTGATGTGCTGACAGAATCAGCTTCGCTCCGGATGCCACCAACGTTTACGGTCGTGGACACCATGCCGCTACCGTTTGTGCGATGGCGGCTCCCATGTCACGACCCAACCGCGATGCCGACTCGTACCCGTCCTCGGGGGCCTATGGCCAGCAGCTCGGCGTAGGGTACACGCAGTCATCCCCTCGTGCAACCGGGTCGGGGTATACCCCTCCGGCCTCCTATGGTCCGGAACCCGGTGGTGGAGGTTTACAGTCCCGGGGCGGCTACTGGGGTGGTTACTCTGGTCGAACGAATCCTCCCGCACCTCCTGGAAGTGGACCGAATGGGGGTGATTATGGTGGACCCTTCGGTGGCCGAGGTGACCCTACGGGACCTCCTGGTGATGGAGGATCCGGCGGGTACTACGGTGGTCCTCCTGGCCCTTTGGGAGGCGGCCCTGGAGGAGACAGCACTGGTCCCGGACAGCCCAACTCATCCCTGGAGCCCCGTTCGGCTTCACGTCATGCTATGTCCGATGCTCGGAAGTACGCGCCCAAATAGATACTGTCGACCGGACCATCCCTTTGGAACATTTTCTGTCGACGTTTGATACCATCCAGAAGGAGTGCGGGCTCAACGATACCTAGATCGTTCTAATCTTCGATGACCGCCTGACATCCTGTGGGGTACTTTCCGTCCAGGACTGGTGGGCAGTCGTGTGACCAGCCTCATTGTTGACAAGACTGGTCGGGGCCAGACATGCTGTAGCGGTAGATCCAAAGGGTCTTTCGACTAAGGCCCTCCCCGCGTTCTCATGCGGCACTTGGAGTTGTACCCTGAGATCGGCGAGATTCACCCCTGGGATACTGCCATCTCCGTCTGAGACTCCGCGAGTGACAGTAGGATCCAGGAGGTGTTCACCAATGAAGGAACTCTCAGCCTCATGACGCATTGGTTCGGTCACTTCCGATGTCACTACCGCGTCACGTCGCACGGGGGACGTTTGCACACGACCACCGTCTCGAGGGGCACCCGGCTGAGTGAGGTCTTGGCTAGACATCGGCAGTCGTTCCACAGTGGAGCTTTCCAAAGGGAGTCGACTGCCCTTCCTCACCGCGACGGGAGGGTTAGCTAGACAAGGGTGACCAGCCCGACGAGACACCACGGTCTTAACAGTGGGGGAAGGACTAGCCACCGACGTACCTTGGGAGTGGTGGCTAGCCCTTACTGACGCCCCAGAGAGTGGAGCGTCAGGTGAAACCCGGGGGCGGTCTTCCGGAGGCGACGCAGATCCAGCACCAGGAGGGTCATCCTCCAACGCTTCCTTGCACACCGATGGGACCCCCGCATCAAATGGTACAATCAACAATCACTGCCAAAATCACTGCCATACTTCGTAATCCGTTTTCACACAACTTAGGAATGAAATGAAATTACGCGGTAATGGTATTTATACGCTCTCTATCACCCGAGCGCACGCATGTGCTGCGGTAGTCTAGCAGGATGGAGCTTGCATTTAGGAGTGTATTTGATGGCGTGGTGGTGACATGCGCAGTGCTGGTGGTCATAAGCGCTGTGCATGTCACCTCCCGCCATCAAATACCCTTCTAGTGTACAAATGAGTGTGAAAACTTGATGGCCGTTAGTGGTCAATTTAGAGAACACAGAGTCGATGTGACATGGCAAGTGGTGATGATGTTCTGCATGTACAATGGAGTGATGTGGTGGTCACATGTGCAGCAATCGTAGTCACTGGGGTAACGTTAGCAGGGTTTTTGGGCATTATTCTGGAGCGTAGGGGTGGGGTGCACTTAGACTACCAGTCAGTGCCACTATCACTCCACCACCCACGCTCCAGAATAACGATAGTGGTCTTTGCCGGGGAACGGTAGTTGTGACTGCTGGGGATCCAGAAACCATGACTGGGGTTCATTACTATGTCTACTCCTGATCTCTACAATGGTTCTATGAGGGGGGTGATTGGAGGGATAGCTGCTGTTGTGCCATACTACGAGAGTAGAAGTTGAGGTCACACAAGTTGGGTGGGTGTGGGTTGGAAGCGCTATTTGGCGAGCATACGCCGTGGCCGCAGGAGTGGTGGTGGGTCGTCTCGTACTACTTTACGTCCTCCTATGCGTACGAATCGTACGCGTAGGAGGACGGATCGAGTGCGCAGGCTCCAATGTCGTGGTTGCGTGGTAGTCACGGAGCCGAAGTGCGAATGCCAGGAAACTTAGCACCATGGCGTACTAGTACGCCAAAAAGTATTGTCTTGGACCAAGACATTACTAATACAAGCTAACTTGAAGCTCAAACGCGATCCATGAAAATTCCTATTTTCTAGCGATGTGATTGGTCCAATGAAATGTAGTGCAATCTGCATTACGTTTTCCCTACTTGTTTGAACAAATAATTTCTCAAATTTAATCACTAGGCATTTGTAAGTGGAATTAATTAAAGCCTGGCCAATTTGTTTTCAACAAATCGAAAATATAATGCGTCGTGCATTACGATGCCGTTATTTTCGCCTATATTTCATGTCATTTCTGGATTATGCTCAACTAATACAGTGCTGGCAACAAGTTTAAAGCCACCCCAAAAATTGGAGTTTCAGAACATCA